TGGTGTAAGGTAAGGAACAGGAGTGTCTAGGTGACGTGGTGTAACGTAAGGAATAGGAGTGTCTAGGTGACGTGGTGTAAGGTAAGGAACAGGAGTGTCTAGGTGACGTGGTGTAACGTAAGGAACAGGAGTGTCTAGGTGACGTGGTGTAAGGTAAGGAACAGGAGCGTCTAGGTGACGTGGTGTAAGGTAAGGAATAGGAGTGTCTAGGTGACGTGGTGTAAGGTAAGGAACAGGAGCGTCTAGGTGACGTGGTGTAAGGTAAGGAATAGGAGTGTCTAGGTGACGTGGTGTAAGGTAAGGAATAGGAGTGTCTAGGTGACGTGGTGTAAGGTAAGGAACAGGAGTGTCTAGGTGACATGGTGTAAGGTAAGGAATAGGAGTGTCTAGGTGACGTGGTGTAAGGTAAGGAACAGGAGCGTCTTGGTGACGTGGTATAACGTAAGGAACAGGAGTGTCTAGGTGACGTGGTGTAAGGTAAGGAACAGGAGTGTCTAGGTGACGTGGTGTAAGGTAAGGAACAGGAGAGTCTAGGTGACGTGGTATAACGTAAGGAATAGGAGCGTCTAAGTGACGTGGTGTAAGGTAAGGAACAGGAGTGTCTAGGTGACGTGGTGTAAGGTAAGGAACAGGAGCGTCTAGGTGACGTGTTGTAACGTAAGGAATAGGAGTGTCTAGGTGACGTGGTGTAAGGTAAGGAACAGGAGTGTCTAGGTGACGTGGTGTAACGTAAGGAACAGGAGTGTCTAGGTGACGTGGTGTAAGGTAAGGAACAGGAGCGTCTAGGTGACGTGGTGTAAGGTAAGGAATAGGAGTGTCTAGGTGACGTGGTGTAAGGTAAGGAACAGGAGCGTCTAGGTGACGTGGTGTAAGGTAAGGAATAGGAGTGTCTAGGTGACGTGGTGTAAGGTAAGGAATAGGAGTGTCTAGGTGACGTGGTGAAGGTAAGGAATAGGAGAGTCTAGGTGACGTGGTGTAAGGTAAGGAATAGGAGTGTCTAGGTGACGTGTTGTAAGGTAAGGAACAGGAGCGTCTAGGTGACGTGGTGTAAGGTAAGGAATAGGAGTGTCTAGGTGACGTGGTGTAAGGTAAGGAACAGGAGCGTCTAGGTGACGTAGTGTAAGGTAAGGAACAGGAGTGTCTAGGTGACGTGGTGTAAGGTAAGGAACAGGAGTGTCTAGGTGACGTGGTGTAACGTAAGGAATAGGAGTGTCTAGGTGACGTGGTGTAAGGTAAGGAACAGGAGTGTCTAGGTGACATGGTGTAAGGTAAGGAATAGGAGTGTCTAGGTGACGTGGTGTAAGGTAAGGAACAGGAGTGTCTAGGTGACGTGGTGTAAGGTAAGGAACAGGAGTGTCTAGGTGACGTGGTGTAAGGTAAGGAACAGGAGTGTCTAGGTGACGTGATGTAAGGTAAGGAACAGGAGTGTCTAGGTGACGTGATGTAGGGTAAGGAAGTAGAGGGTCCTGGCGTCTGGCGTCTGGCGTATGGCGTCTGGGGTCTCATTGAGATGGAGATGACGTGGAGTGAATCTGTGTACGGAAGATTAGAGGGCGGTAACAGCAGATGGGGAATGGTGATGCTACAGAGTATGTGTGTGCGTGTGTGTGAGTGCGTCAGTGTGTGTGTGTGCGTGTGCGTGTGCGTGTGCGCGAGTATCACGTACCTGTAAACAGGATTCACTGTCAAATCATGTACATTCAACTAGTTTGAGAAATCAAATTAATATAGATTCGACATATATATCTTACTAACATCACAAAACATTGCCCCTTATGTGTTAATAGTCGTTAGTTACAACGGTGTCGTTTCACTGTGCAAGAGTGAGTGTGAGTGAGTGAGTTTGGATTTACGCCGCTTTTAGCAATATTCCAGCAATATCACGGCGGGGGACACCAGAAATGGGCTTCACACATTGTACCCATGTCGGGATTCGAACCCGGGTCTTCGGCGTGACGAGCTAACGCTTTAACCACGAGGCTACCCGACCGCCCCTCACTGTGCAAGAGGTACCACCTCCGTGGTCTTGTGGTAGAAATGTTGTCAGTATACTGTGTGGTATCTCAGTGAGCTAGCACTATACAATCGGCATCAGTCCGGACTAGTAGAAGCAGACACGCACACGCACACGCACACGCACACGCACACGCACACGCACGCGCACACACACACACACACACACACACACAAACACACTCACACACACGTGCATGCACGTCGCTATACAAGTGCAATAATCTTGAACGCGACGTTAAACACCATTGATGTGACTAATATCATATGTGGAGTGGCATTATACCTGAGGGGCGGTCGGGTAGCCTTGTTGTTAAAGCGTTCGCTCGTCACACCGAAGACCCGGGTTCGATTCCCGACATGGGTACAATGTGTGAAGCCCATTTCTGGTGTCCCCAGCCGTGATATTGCTGGAATATTGCTAAAAGCGGCGTAAAATCAAACTCACTAACTCACTCACTGAGGTCACTCACAATCTTTCATCATTTTCATTTCAAATCACTGTCGTCACTATCACATTGCAGATGGTCTCAGGCTTTATTCAAAATTAATACATAATTAAAAACATACTAAATTAATAATTTACGCAAAGTGTGCACTTCGGTTTATACTTTTTTATCTCCATAAACGCAAAACATATTCAAGTAAATTCTAATAAATAAATATAGTCAAGAATTATTACTTCACAGACTGCTTATTTAATGATCACACACACACACACACACACACACACACACACACACACACACACACACACACACACACACACACACACACACACACACACACACACACACACACACACACACACACACACACACACACACACACAGCAAAACAAAACAAAACAAAACTGTAGATAACTGTATGAAACAGTGAAATCATTCAGCGCAATAATGTAACGGAAGCCCCGCCCATTCTGCTATCAGCCAATTGGGAAAACAGTTTCTAAGTAGGCGTGGCCCACTCTTTCGGTTTATGGAAATATAAATTCAAAAATATTACTTGGTCAGCCAATCAAATGCCACGGAATGGCTTGTATTTTTTAAAATTTTTATTTAAAATGGTCACCCAGACGTTTTTCATGATATGCCAAGAAGGAAGCTCATGATCACCACGCTCTGATAGAGGAAGTCAGGAAGTTTCCTCGACGCTAGACACGTTGTCCCAGAATGTGACTTGATACCATAGGAAAATAGATACCTGTTCACACGACATATCTAATCTCATGTTACCATGGTTACTTGTTCAAACGTAGGAAACAGATGTATGATATCTGCATAATTTATCGTCGAGTGAGACATTGTAATAATCACAATTATTGCTGGTCCTTCATACAAGTGCTGAAGCTGACAATGTTTTATAACATGAACTCATTATAAGACAATTTGCTCTAGACGGACATTAGGAGTAGTTTATGTAAACAACCAAAATTTCACTTAACATTAATTGAGAAGACAAACAATATCGATTCGCGCGTTGATGTAACGTTTCAGTTGGTAGACCACATCCTCGCGATCGTTTTTTTTAATGGAAATTCTCATATTACTGTGAATTAGTCGAATGACAACAACAAACATCATACTCTATACACGATACAGCAAACATGTTTTGTCACACATCATTAATGTGAGGGCGTCAAGCATAACATGCCTCAACAAGCATACATGCGTTTTATTATATCAATGATGTAAATTATTTCTAAAAAAATTTTTGATTGTGAAAAATAATGTATGTTCAGATGCCCCTGGCGTCCATACGTCTATTAACAAAGTTTAGAATTGGCTGTAATTTTTCTGTATACAGCATCTACCATGGGGTGGATCAACAACAACTGATGATAATGTTCTGTGTAAACATTGTGAGTGAGTGGTGAGTTGGGTTTAACGCCGCTTTTAACAATATTCCCGTTATATCGCGGCGTGTCAGCTTAATGTGGGAGGAAAGCCCGAAGTGATGCAGATCTCAGACGTTTACCACTTCGGTGAAACCCACGAGCACGGGTATGGTGCTGACAAACCTAGAAACATAATCGGGGCGAACCGGGATTCGAACCCACAATCATAGGTTTCTGGCGTTCCCAAGGGACGCAACTCTGCACAGCGAATGGCGGCGCCTTAGACGACTGGGCCACCCGTGCCCCCTGTAAACATTGTAACGCAATTGAAGATGAAATTCCTGTTATATATGTTTGTAAACATTATGAAGATGAGCGTAAACTCTTTATTACCTAACTTGTCAAGTAAGCAGTATAATTCACTAAAAACCTATGTACTTCACCAGATAAATAAAGTATTATTGCCATTTACCAAGTTCTTAACACGTCTTTTTAAGAACTATTCCCCTAAAGCAATTTTGTTAATTTAAGTCTGTATATTTCCGTGTGGTAACTCGCACTATGGTGTAAAACTTTTGTACTTTAGGTCATGTGGCTTTTAATGCAAAAAAACCTGTCTGTCTGTCTTAATTCGAAATAGCCAGTTTAGATCTCCAAGTGAAGCCATACTGTTTGTTATAAACCCACAGAACAGGATGAGTGAGTGGGTAACGGCTGCGCAAAGCTATGTTTCAGCTATGACATGAAGGGAAACACTTACAGATGGTACACATTGTACCAATGTGGGATTCGAACTCGGTCTTCAACGTGACGAGAAACGCCTTCAACACAAGGTGGACCCCAAAATGTTCGAGTCTGGATAGACAATCCAGTGATTGATGTCATGAGCATCGACTTACGCAAATGAGATACGATGACATGTATCAACCAAGTTCGTGGGCCTGACCACCCGATCCCGTTAGTCGCCTCTTACGAAAAGCATTGTCGCGCCTTTTACGACAAGCATTGGTTGCTGAAAACTGTTCTAATAACACCCCCCCCCCCCCCCCCCCCAACACACACACACACACAATGAGATGACTCATGTATTTCCGCACTTAGTTTATGTGACATGTTTATGACAGTTACGCTGTGTGTACAGTGTCACACAAATGTACAGTGTCACACATGTGTACACAGTCCATGTTGCCATGCACACCATGCTCCTGTGACATACATTTTCTCATGGTCCTCTCCGACCACGTCGGTATTTATTTTAGACAACACGTGCTTTTGTGTTAGAGTCTCGTTCACGTTCACTTCTTTATTTAGGCGCAGTATAAACACCCCGGCTTTGTCCGCTGACCTTCATGACAATCTAGCAGTGAGTCGGGTCAGAGTGTGCCTTAGGCCTCTTGTATAAGCTCGGACTCAGTCAGCTCATTACGACGTGGGCCAGCAGCGTTCACCTTTCTTACCTGGCAGGTAAGATGAGCTATGGCTCACCTGTAATCAAGCCGGGCAGAAACAGGAAGCATTAAACAGGTAGACAGCAACATGGACGCGCAGTGTTTACTGGGAGTTGGCGATGTCGTCGACGAAGGAGCTCAGGTAAGACTTCTACTCCCACCTGTTGAATGTGCAGTTATGGTGCAAGGACTAAATGCAGCGGTGCGCGGTACGTTTACCATAATACTGCACTGATTGTGCAGAAATTAGCCAATTAAACATTGCAGTGTTGATCAAATATCAAACACGTTGCTCAATTCCCATGCAGAAAGGGATGCTTGCTTGAACGGTTCAATGATAATTGAATTACGTTTGTATTTTGAAGAGCGGATCCACAGGGTTGGGGAACAAACCCTAGGAAGTTTTATAGGTCATAGAGATTCTAAGTGTAAAACACTATAATTAACTCATATTTATATTTTTAAGTGATTATATAAGTGCACGACTACCGACAAAAATTACCATATCACAAAATCCACTCATCTTTTTCAAAAGGCTGTATTTCAACTCATGTTTTATACGTCCATTTTTTGTATAGTGTTCATCACATGTTGATGTGTCAACACGTATACACGCTCATGTCAGAGTAACGGTATATGGGATTACAGATGTGCACATGTGAATAGGCAGCTATCAGCTATAACTACACAACAGTGTCATAGATACAGGTTAGCATCAGCTGAAATACCTTGTGTCATACACAGTTAATTCCAGTCGTCGCCTGCCTATAACGGTGACAATAAACTGTCGTGAGTATTTTTTTCAAATTGTATCCTGACCTAAAAGGCGATTGTATAACGAGGCTGGGATGACGACATGAGGTTTCCAAATGATCCCCAGTATAAAAATCAACACACACTGAAAGCCCGACACCGAATTCTATTAGTCTAAACATCAAGGATAATATAGTTTCAAATCCTGCCTGAAACACATACTTAAACGTGGAAAAACATATCTTTCATTTCTATTTTATTTCATATTTTGTAATTTTCTAAAAAAAGATATCACTGTGACATCCTTCATTTTGACCACAGTTTCCGACTTTTCGTCAAAAGGAAGGATGTCACATCCTTATTTTTAATTTTTAAAATCATCAACTATTTTTAAATTTAAAATGACCAAATTTAGTTGTCCTGACCATATCATTAACCATAATATGTTTCTAATGACGTCACTTGTCTTATATTAATTATGACATAAAACAATACTAAACGTAGAATGAATGCCCGTTTTTTCCCAATGACAGGACTTGTGGGGGACATAATTCATTATTCATCATTCAGTTGTCTGTCGCTATACAGTAGGCTGTCTGTACTGTACTACCGTTACACCAGGAGGCCCACATTCTAAACTGTGGACTTTACTGCCTACAGGAGGAATACAGTTTGGATATGACAGCTGATTCCTCAAGGCTCCATTACGTTATGTAAGCAGCTGAACTCAGGGCCTCGATATTCCGTATACCGCATTTCCTCCATTTGACGTTTAATATTTGGCGCAAGCCGTTGCGTCTATAAGAAATCCGGCGTCTATTCTGCGTTTCCAAAGACGCGTGGTTTTGTTTTCTGTTCTTTGTTGTTTTACGCCAACAATCAGCAATATTCCAGCTGTATGTCGGCGGTCTGTAAATAATCAAGTCTGGACCAGACAATCCAGTGATTGATATCACGAGCATCGATCCACGCAATTGAGATACGATGACATGCATCTACCAAGTCAGCGAGCCTGACCCCCCGATCCCGTTTGTCGCCTCTTACGACGAGCATGGGTTCCTGAAGACCTATTCTCCCCCAGATCTTCACGGGTCTAAACCGGAAGTGAAAGGGAGTGATCATAACGTCACACGATGTATGTCCGTCACAGAAACCAGTGCCTACGCCTCTCTGTACCAAGTCGCTATCAACTGCAGGTCTATAACGTTACTGTGTGAATCCAGCATTACATGTTTGTCATCAACCGCTGACTCACGGCAGCGATCACCATCCATCAATATTAGCATATACCTGGGAACCCCCTGACTATAAAACATTAGTCATGTAACACCATTGTGTTTGTGAAGGCTGCGTCTTTGTGTGCAGTCACTCGACGCTGGCTGGTTCAGGGTTAGCACAATACAAACGTCAGCTCACGCCGACCAACCTCCCCAAGGACAATAGTGATTTAATAATGTGAATAACAAACTATTTTACGGCAATAAAAATGTCACTTAGAGGGTAAGTGGAAGGTTGAGGTGGAGTGTTGCAAGCCTGGACCTGTTGGATAATGTTGACTAATGATATGTAGGAGTGTTGGATCAACTTAAACTAAACACAGCCACAGCAGTGGAAGTAGCAGTAGTGATAGTAGCTGTTGCCATGGAATAAGTAGCATTGTCAGAAGCAGCAGTAGTAGCAGTGGCATCACTATCCGTAGGACAGGAGGGATAGTCGTTGTATCAAAAGAAGTAGCCAATAGAACGCATTATGGTTATAGCAGACATAGTTGCAATAGAACGCATATTATTTGTTGTAGAAGTAGTAGCAATATGACGGATAGTAGTCGTTGCATAAGTAGTAGCTATAGGACGGATAGTAGTTTCTAGTAGTTTCAGGGTCCACTTGGACGTAATAATCCCCGCATTTGAGTTGTTAGAGTACCTCAATCTACGTCCACATCCACACCATCCACACATCCACACCATCCACACATCCACACCATCCACACCATCCACACATCAACACACCCACACCATCCATACATCCACACTTCCACACCATCCACACCATCCACATATCCACACCACCCACACATCCACACCATCAACACATCCACACCATCCATACATCCACACCATCCACACATCCATACCATCCACACATCTACACCATCCACACATCCAAATATCCACACCATCCACACATTCACACATCCACACCATCCACACATCCACACATCCACACCATCCACACATCCACACATCCACACCATCCACACACCCACACATCCACACCATCAACACCATCCACACACCCACACATCCACACCATCCACACATTCACACATCCACACATCCACACCATCCACACCATCAACACCATCCACACATCCACACATCCACACCATCAACACCATCCACACACCCACACATCCACACCATCAACACCATCCACACATCCACACATCCACACCATCAACACCATCCACACACCCACACATCCACACCATCAACACCATCCACACATCCACACATCCACACCATCCACACACCCACACATCCACACATCCACACCATCCACACACCCACACATCCACACCATCCACACATTCACACATCCACACCATCCACACATCCACACATCCACACCATCCACACATTCACACATCCACACCATCCACACACCCACACATCCACACCATCAACACCATCCACACCATCCACACCATCCACACATCCACATCATCCACACATTCACACATCCACACATCCACACCATCAGCACATCCAAACATCCACACATCCACATCATCCACACCATCCACACCATTCACATCCAAACACCGTTCACATCAACGTCCACATCCACACCCGCAACAACATCCATTTCAAATCAACCACATCCACTTCCAATCCACATCCACATCAACGTCCACATCCACATCCACATGAACGTCCACATCCACATCCACATCCACATCTACATCTAAATCTACATTTACGTCCACATCCACATCCATATCCACACCCGTAACAACATCTACATCCACATCCGCTACAACACCCACATCCACATCCACATCCACTTCCACTTCCAATCCACATCCACATCCACATCAATGTCCACATCCACATCGACATCCGCGTCCACATCCACATCCACTTCCACTTCCGCATCCACAACCACATCGACACCAACATCCACATCTACATCTACATTTACTTCCACATCCACATCCACGTCCACATCCATATCTACGTCCACATCCACATTTACGTCAACATTTACGCCCACATCCACATCCATACCTACACCCACACCCACACCCACACCCGTACCCGCACCCACACCCACACCCACACCCACACCCACACCCACACCCACACCCACACCAAAACCAAAACCCACACCAAAACCAAAACCCACAATAAAACCCACACCAAAGCCCACACCAAAACCCACACCCACACCAATCCCGACAATACCCGGAGGTATTTGAAGGTGTGTGATTAATCAATTAAAGGTATCACTCTTTAGCAGTTTTATGGTTAACTCCTCTGACCCAGCCCCCGGCGACGCAGGGGTTCTTTAATCTCTTTCTTTTCTTAAACGTTGTAATTGTTGGTAGCGGGCCTCAATATTCATGTCAATAAATAAATTGCAAGTTATTCCGTGACATTTGATTGGCTTTGCGAGCAGATTTTGCGTTTATGTTTCCATAAACCGAAAAGAGATAGACCACGCCCACTGGCGGACTACTGTTTCTTGATTGGCAGATAATAGAATGGGCGGGGCTTGCGTTGCGTTAATTAAACGATGTCAATTATCAGGGGCGGTGAGGTAGCCGAGTGGTTAAAGCCTTCGTCACGCCGAAGACCCAGGTTCGATTCGCCACATGGGTACAATGTGTGAAGCCCATTTCTGTGTCCCCCGCAGTGATATTGCTGGAATATTGCTAAAGGCGGCGTTAAACCATACTCACTCACTCACTCACTCACTCACTGCCATGTGCAAGAGTGAGTGAGTTGTGTTTAACGCCGCTTTTAACAGTATTACAGTTATATCGCGGCGTGTCAGCTAAATGTGGGAGGAAAGCCCGAAGTGATGCAGGTTTCAGACGTTTACCAGTTCGGTAAAATCCATGAGCACGGGTATGGTTCTGACAAACCTAGAAACATAATTGGGGCGAACCGGGATTCGAACCCACAATCACGGGTTTCTGGCGTGCCCAAGACCTTAGACGACTGGGCCACCCGTGCCCCCACCATGTGTCGGATATGTGTGAGGCGGGTGTAGACGCGCTTGTCACGTGGAGTGATATTTGGTCTGTGGATCGGCAGGTATGGTGGGTTGGCGGGGCCTTTGAGTCGGAGGAGAATGTTGGTCTATGTATCATGAGATCTGTCG